GCGGAAGGATCGCCGGAGCCCAGCAGATCGAGGCTGCGGTGGCTGGGAGGGGCCACTGCACTCCAGTCTGGGCGACAGAGTGAGACTCCAACTCAAAGACAAACAAACAAACAAACAAAAAAACCCACAAAAACCAGTGTGAGAATCAGGCAGGAAAAAGAGGTGGAAGAGGTGGGCAGTTTTCAATGGCATGTATTATAAACCTTTATAAAAAGCCTAATACAGAGTTTAAAAAGTTATTACACAAAGACAAACCACATAAGCAGACTGTAGGCATCCGGCATATTTGGAAGGAGTGGGATTCATGTTGGAAGGACACTGGAAGTGGTGGCTTAAAGTCCCAAAGCTGTGGTCAGGGCAGCGTCACAGAGGGAACGGAAGACGAGGGAGGACTGGAGTCCCTGCAGCGCAAAGGACTGTCCCTGTCTGGGACTTCCTGTTCTCCTCATCTCTCCTTCCAGGTTTTGGCTCTGCCCTCCCCCTAGCCCTACTCCCTTCACCCATACTCCCAAAAGGTTGGGACACAAATGGCCAAGGGGCCAGGAAGCTGGGGAGGGGGCACCAGGGAAATGAGAGCAGTTCCTGGGGTATCTTATTCTGCTTCCCCATTTCTCCTACAGACAGGTCAAGAGCTGTGGAGAGGAAGAAGGAGAGGGCTCCGCTTCCTGAGCCCCCAACACACCCACCAGTTTCCCTGGTGTCTCCACCTGCAACCTTGGAGGGAGGGCCTGCTGCTTCCAGTGTCCTTTCTGCAGCCATCCCAGGTATGCAGGTTAGCTTCTCAGTGAGGGGCTGGGCAGACGGTGGCAACCTCACTGTCCACAGCTGCCCCTGCTCCCACCAGAGAGCTATGGAAAAGTCATGAATGGCCAGGCGCAGTGGCTCAAACCTGTAATCACAGCACTTTGGGAGGCAGAGGTGAGAGGAATGCCTGAGCCCAGGGTTCCAGACCAGCCTGGGCAACTTGGTAAGACCTCATCTCTACAACACATCAAAAAATTAGCACAGGCCTGTGGTTCCAGCTACTTGGAAGGTTGAGGCGGAAGGATCACCTGAGCCCAGAAGGTGGCCATGAGCAGTGTGCCACTGCACTCCGGCCTGAGTGACAGTGAGACTGACTCAAAATAATTAATTAATTATTTTTTTTGCTATTTTAAAACATAATTTTTTGGTAGAGATGGGGAAAGGGTCCTGTTATGTTGCCTGGGCTGGTCTCCAAGGGATCCTCCCACTCAGCCTCCCAAAGTGCTGGGACGAGAGGCGTGAGCCACGGTGCCCGGCCCAGCTTCCCTCTCTTCATGCTCCTTCTCAGCACCCGGAGTGACGGCTGCAGTGGAGTGCTGCCTGTCTCTCCACTGCAGTAAAGCCCCGAGAGCAGAGACGCTGTCTGGCTCGCCCACAGCATCTCAGCTGGTACATGCTCATGACTTGGCCCAGGAGCCCACCGTGAGCCAGAATCTGAAGCGGCGAGAGCGCAGGAGGGTTCTTATGGTCAGTCGCCCATCGGTTGGGCCAGGCCCTGGAGGTCCAGGTGGGGCAGCTACTAAGCCTTCCCCAGTAAGGGCACGGCAGCCTTGGAAATGCCATGGGTGGTCTCTGATGGTGCTGAGACTAAGGACCAGGAGATATCCACAGTGCACATGGAGTCCCTCGTGTCCTGCTTGTTGGCGAAGATCAGGATCGCAGCATCTCGAAGAGCCTGTGAGCAGAAGAGCCAGCCCCGGTCAGCCTGCCAGGGCCCAGCTTTCCTCCCCACTGCCCTGAGGGTTCTTTCTCCCTGGCTCCCTCCTCGGCAAGAGAAGCCCATGCTCAGGGTGGGTGGAGAGGGGAGCCCTGCCCCAACGGGAGCACCCACATCCAGTGATACTATCAGCTCACGGAATGCCTACAGTCCAGCTCATGTCGTCCTTAACGACCATCCCATGAGGTAGCAATTGGTGATCCGCCCCATTTTATGCTTGGGAGAAACTGAGGATCAGAGAGGTGAAGTGACTTGTCCAAGGCCCCACAATGAATGAATGAGAGGTGGGGTCGGGACTTGCACCAGCAACCCTGGCTCCTGTAGTCAATTGTGCAGAGGACATTGACGCCCTGCCTGGGGATAAACTGGCCCTCTCCAAGCTGCTGGGATGGGACATCAGGAATGAAGCTCAGAGAGGCTAAGTGAGCAGCCTGAGGGCACACAGCCAGTACTGCGGGGCCCTCTCCCAACTGGAGGGGGTAACCTCGTGGGCCAGCATCTTAGCTCCTCCTAAGCGGTCAGCAGCTGATCCCAGTCCATGCTGCCAATCACAAAGATGAAGGACCGGCCAGCAGAGAGGAGGAGCTTTCTCCTAGGTGACTGTGTTTCCTTCTGGCTCTGCTTCCCCAGCTGGCCTCAGTACTGCACAGATGCCAGTGCCAAAGACAAGAAACTGCTGTCTCAAGATCTCACCATGCTAGACCCCTTCCTCCTTTTTTATTTTATTTATTTTTATTTATTTATGTATTTTTTTGAGTTGGAGTCTCACTCTGTCGCCCAGACTGGAGTGCAGTGGCCACTCCCAGTCACCGCAGCCTCGACCTGCTGGG